AAACGGTTACATTCATGGTCCGGATAAGGCAATGGAAATTTGCTTGAATTTTCATTGTTCAAGCACGGGCTGTGATCGTGTTGCACGTGCATTACAACTTTAACTGGGTAAAAAGTATTTTCATATGGAAAAAGTAATAATATACGGATTTCTATGAAATACAGCAGGAGTTCCAGCTCCATCGCGTTTGTTGTTTGACATTTTCAGATTATGTAGGAACAGAACAGTTGCATACAGGATAGTTTAGACAGCACATCCCGGGAGGTGATATCATGAACTCAATTTCTATTTGAAAACGAGGAATCATTTATGAGCATCATCAAACACTGTTCACTAATGTTGGGGGAATATTTCTTCACTTTTTCGGTATTTATTTAAGTGACCCAAAACAAATGCCAAATACTACAACTAAAACATACTGGAGAATGGTGGAGAATTTACAAACGCAATGTATGACATCGAATAAGCTCTTCGTGGATTGATTATGCCGGACACAACAGATTAACAACATGAAACAGTCGGCAAGAAAAGACCATGGAAAGAAATGATCCCCATTTTATAACTAGAAATCATTGCACTCTTTGCATGAAACTTGGAATGGCAGAGAAACCCATTCATGAAATATGATATACTGGTCATCTTGAAAGATGACCAATGAAATTCAGTGGATTCTACTGTCATGTACACCGGTGTCGTGGAGATGCAATTACTTTTGTCTTGTTCGTTTCTTGTTTAACGCTCAATTCAGCGATATTCCAGTTATATGGCGGAATACTGTAAATAATCGAGTCTGGACCAGACAATCCAGTGGTCAACATCATGAGCACCGGTCTACGCAGCTGGGATTCGATGACATGTGTCAATCAAGTCAGCGAGCCTGACCACCAGATCCCGTTAGTTCCCTCTTATGACAAGCATGGATTATTGAAGATCAATATTCTAACCCGGATCTTCACGGCTCGGCTTAAGTGAAACACAGCATGCTTCTAACAAACCATAAGAAAATGTAAGAATACAGGTATAAAAATAAAGGTCCTACAGTCCAAGTCTTATAACCCAGGTAGTGAAGTGTAAGTATGTAAGTATGACTACCCACCATGGTGAGACGTTTGACGACTCTCCTGCTGAGAGGAGAATGAGGTGACAATGTACCCACCTAGTGAGATTGGACTGTTTGACTGATTGACATGTGCCAACCATGCTAGCCTGACCACCCGATCCCGTTATTTGCCTCTTAGAACAAGCATGGGTTCCTGAAGATCACTTCTAACCCGGATCTTCATGGGGTTTTAAGTACTACACAGAGGACGTCCGGTGCCTTAGCTAACGGACAACGACTATGTGTTGAATATATGATGTCTGAGGGTAAACTATTCATTTGAAAGATGTGATTCTAACTATCCCACTATCTAATGTCTGTTTTCAAATGAAAACTATAGCCTATATGTCATGAATCTTTGAACAGTGCTCAATTAATCCACATAGCACTTGCTTGAGTTACGAGAGGGTATAAAAAAATTCTAATTATCACCAAGACGTATTCAGGGTAAAAACTTTATCTTGATTTCTTGTCCTTAAGACTTCTATATACATAGGCCCAATCCAGAGTTCTCCTAACATTTCTTGACCTTGTGCAGACGCCTGAATAGAACCCCTGATTTCATTGAAAACCAACCCCACCTCTTGAATGACCTCATTGATATCGTCAAAACGGCGTCCACTTCTTGGCTCATCTGTGAGTAGCATATGACCGGTTTGAAAATCCCTTTTCCATCTCACAACACTATCATAATATCTTCACAAAATACAGATTTCATCTCCTCGTGAATCTGTCGAGAAGTGCAACCCTTCAAGTGCAAAAACTTGATAACACTGCGCGCCTCAATCTTCTCCATACTTGGGTTTACTCGTGATAAACTAGCACAAGATTGAATGAAGTGAAGTAAAATAGTTTTGGTCCATTAACTAGATAAGGAGCACTGATGAGATGGGAGATCCTGGACCTGAGGAAATCTAGACTTGTGCATTTATGGCTTTGGCATTACAGGGTGGGCTAAGCAACAGGGGACAAAATGTGGTTCACAGACACTGAGACAGACTATTGGATCGTATGCCATACACCTTTCTATGTTGACAGCGTTTCACGCAAGTAATGAGCAGAGACGTAAGGTTTCCTTTTCACCACATGCCTCGGCTTTTAACCATAAGTGGTGTGCATTATCATACTATGTTAAGATCATATTGTCCTGTCTAAGTGTAGGTACAACCACTATCACCACTGATGTGTTTCATCGAGTCATCATGCGGTCCATTTAGTTGCTGGAAGTGACCTTTAAGTGAATATGGTATGTCTCAACTAGACAATATAAGCTATATCATCAGGTTTGGGTGAAGATCGTTTATATGGATACTGAATATTCTATGAGGAAGAAACTCCGAAAACTGACCAACAGTTTCAGAGTTCCTGTGGTCCTAGTCCATCCATACATTAGTCAATGTATATATGTCTCCAGGGTTTCATGCATGGGGTTTCTTTGAACTTCAGCTGGTTCAGCACACTGTTGAGATCAAGTTGAGGTGAGGTGAAATTAGGCAACTTCGTGCTTGAGAATATTTCGCTCATATGACGACGTGCATGCGTGTGTATGTGTATGTGCGGTTGCTTGTACTAGCCCAGACTTAAGCTGGTTTTATAGTGCTAGCCCACTGAGATACCATGCCGCAGTGAAGCATGAATACCCCACATAGACACATTATACTGACTCCTAGCTGACCAGTCCTTGTTGTACCCATTAATGCCGAGCGCCAGACAGGGACCAACAAGTACCATATTTTAACGTCTTTTGGTATGACGCGGTCAGGGATCGAACCCGCGACCTTCCGCTCTCCGTGTGGACGCTCTTACCACTACACCATGGTCATCTCAGGTCATCCAAGGAATCTCCACAACAGCTGGTGTGTTTCACCTGGTGATCATGTGGACTATTTCCCTTCATCCTGGAAATGACCTGTTTGAATACTGCATGTCTGCAATTCACTGACAAAGCGATGCTCATACGTTTTGGTGAATACACAAACATTTCCAGACTAACCCCACGTACAGTAGATCACGAGCAGTGAAGTGACAAACGCTTAAACCACAGCTCTGCACTAACTTTCATTCTTTTGTTTTATGTCAGACAAACACGTACTCTTTCACTGCCGTGTCTGTGCATAGAAATAAGAAACCGTATTTATCACAGAATATATCGCACATGCCTGTCTCATCGCTATCTTCTAACGTGAGCAGCTCCCTGACAAACTCCCCCGACTCTGCCAGCTGTATCACCTTGTCAGTGCGGCTGTCTACAAGCAGGATGTCTCCTGTGCTGGTAGTTGTGATACCAGAGGCGCAACCAATGGCGCTGTCACCGGTAGGGGCGTGTATCCACACAACATCTCCCTCTTGCGTCAGACATGTCACAGACTCACGTTCCCAGTCAGACACGAGTATGTTGCCTTTGTTGTTGACACACATGTACCAGGGGTAGGCAAACAGTGAGACGCCATTGTATTTACTGATTGACCTCAACAGGTGTCCAGACATGTCAAGGATATCAACAATGCCGTAACCATCACAATCCTCGCCACTTGCTGCCAGAGATGAAAGGTTCAGAACAGCCAGACTGTCGTAACTATTGCGAGTTAGGATGGTTGAGAGCAGCACCAGGTCGGGGGTCACTTCTACTGTTACAATCTGGCGGGACGAAGGTACAGCAACCATTACCTGCTTCTGCTTCAACTGTGTTATCCCAGATGGTGGGTTATCCAGGGGAAGCTTACTGTGGCATGGATGATTGTCTCTAGTGTACAGAGATTTCAGGCAGTTGTTAGAAAAGTCAGTGACAACACGTGTCTGTATATCACCTACAGTCAGGACTGTTATGCACCTTAAGTCAGGGCTCATCTCATCACTCTCCACCCTCACATCTATCGTGTCACCCAGCACTGGAGACAGTAGACATGTGCCCTGGTATGTGACGTCAATTTTCCCAAACGGCAGTTTTTCTAGGGTCTCCTGGACCCTGAAAGTGTTAGGTATAAACCTGATGTCATCTATTCTCCGGGTGTCTGATGCCTCTGTATCCCTGACACCCACCATTTCTACAGCTCCAGATTCCCAGACCTGATACGCGTCATACAGGTCCATCTCACAGTTCGATATCAAGGCCTGGTCAATGAACTCACAATGTTGTCTGTACATCTGCATATCGATCTCTTCCAGCTTCACATCAGCTTGGAGTTGGTCGGCGTATGTCTGTGATATGTTATTCAGTTCATCCAACAGTTGTGATTCTTTCTGTTTAATCTTGTTAATCGCTGTCTGGCAGATCAACCTAATATTTTGAACAGCTAACTCTGTGATTCTAGAACTACTTTGGAGCTACTCGTGTTTTATGTCTACTTTCTTCGACCTCACTTTCAGTCTCTTCTCCATGCCAAGTCTCTTCTCGATCAGTGCTGCTTTCATCCCTGGCTTCATAGACTCAATGGTTACGACAGTCTTACAAGCTCTGTGGTAGATGATACAACATGTCTGACAGGCAGCCTTCCCACAGTCTTGACAGTGGAACTCAACACGGTTACTCTTGTGTTCCGTACACATGATCCTCCGTTTGACCTTTGACCTAGACGACAGGTCACATAGGTCATGGTTCAATAAAGTAGGGGTCACCCGGTGTGTCTTCACACATTTGTCACAGAGGGCCACTTCACACTCAGGACACCACAAGACCCCTAGTGTTGTCTCCCCTAGTTGCTCACAGATCATACAACAGGTGCTCGAGGTCTCTGTAAACACAAGTACACACGTTCTTATTTTCATCACAACTTGAAAAGGCCACTCAAGAAAGCAGGGTATTTTTAACACACACAGATGTAAATGTTAAGTCTACCACTGGTTTTAAATACATACATACACATACACACACGCACACACGTGGATCATATTTTCACTTTACCTTGCACAGCCACCTCGGATCTATAGGTTTCAATCAGCCCCTGTAAAATGATGCTGGGTTTGATCTGCCCAGCCCACTCCTCCACCGGCCTGCGGGGGTGGGGGACCTTGGTGTCTTGTCGACAGCAGGGACAGGGGATGGTCTTGGACTGTACAGCATCAGGTCTGGTTTGGATGTATGAGGTGACACATTTCCTGCAGAATGTGTGATCACACTTCAGTGTACACGGGTCTGTGTACATCTCCAAGCAGATGGAGCACGTCAGGAAATTATCCTTTACTTTCTTCTCTAGCCCGGCGGTCGCCATCTGTAAGATACACATGCAGTTTGTACCTGTTTAGTTTAAAACAAATAAATTACGCTTTACTCACTACAGATTCAATAAGCAGTAATGGAAGATCTGAACATACGTGCACCTGCATGTGAAGCTGTATACAAACACACTCACACACACAGACACACTTTAAATATAAACTGATGTCTATCTACCTGTCTTTCTCTCTATGTATTTAACTGTATATACATACATACAGAGAGAGAGAGAGGCAGCGAGAGAGAGAGAGAGAGAGTCTCTCTCTGTGTGTGTATGTGTGTGTGTGTGTGTGTGTGTGTGTGAATGTGTGTGATATGTAAACTGCAAGTGAGCCTCTGTACCCGAGCAGTCTACTGGGCACACTGACATCTTTTTTACCTTACCATAGTTACCATATTATTTACCATGCAAGTCGGTAGTAATCTTGGGAGCATATTCGTGCACATGGGTGCCAATCTGAACTGCTTGTCGTCCAGGATGTTACTGCCACACAGTATCGGAGACAGGTCTTCACCCACGTTCTTCTGCCATATAAGCAGCTACATTATCCAGGACTGACATGTTACCATGACAACGTCGAGCCCCACCTTGTTGTTACTAACGCTGGTGTTGACGTCATGGACTGGCCTTCCCGTTCCCAATTGTGGTATACACACGATTTCCCTGACTGTCTCTAATGAACAGTATATCATAAGGGAAGTTCGGCCAAAACCTTCATTCCTGCCAGATACATGCACTTCAGGTGTGGAAAACACAACCGACATATCTGCACCGCCATGAATTGGATCATGTACATATATTTAATCTAATCGCTCACCGTTAACCTCAACCCTACTCAAAGGCAAACACTGAATCTACACATGGTAGACACGCCCCCTAGCCACCAGAAGTAAGGTATCGCACAAAACACAGTAGGAGGAACGATTGAATGGACACCCTCACCGAAATTATACCTGAACACTGACTATTACACAAACCAATGAACAGGTCAATGTCAGATCGTATTTACGTCATCATAGTTACCATAATATTGACCATGCATGTACTTAATAATCTTGGGAGCATATTCGTGCCAATGGTCGATCTCAGCAGATTGTCATGCAGGATAATGTTACTGCTATACAGTATCGGGACCAGGTGAACAGGCACTCTCGACCCAAACCTACGTTCCTGCCAGATACATGCACTTCAGGCGTGGAGAACACAACCGACATATCTGCACCGCCACCACTATACATGGTGTCTATTCACTCACCTTTAACCTCAAACACTGACAATGCACATGATCGGAAAGCCCCGCAGCCAGCAGTAGTAAGGTATCGCTAAAAGCACAGTACGTAGGAGGAACGATTAAACGGATACATTCATTGAAAGTACACCTGAACACTATTATTCAAGTCCATGAATCAGTCAATGACAAAACCTTTGTATAATTGGATTTACCCACTTAGCTCCAGTGCTACGTGTTACAACACCATCGCGAGGATATCGTATAAAGTGATAACGAAAGTAGACTATAGTACTAAGTGACAGTATATACCTTGATTGCAGTTTTTAGCGTTACAAGCCCCTGTGAAGTAGACAACTTACCCTCACAATTATCACTGATTTCAAGACGTACTGACACTCGTACATTTCTATCAGATAATGAACAGTTGACAAAACACAATAAATGGCATCAGTTGTCAGTTTAACAATATCTACTTTGCAGAAAATCACAAGCAATGACTTAAGTCTACCTTTCCGGTGGCTGTGTGTTCGTGTGGTTTGTCGTATTCGCTTGAACTCGACCTTTTCCGTAAGTGTTCTCTCGGCTGGGCGCGTATTACCCTTTGTTGACGTGAAGGACGTTTCTGTGTATAGGTAAGAGTCTATGTCGGCCTTTTCGCTGATTTGTGGGTCCATTATTGTAAATCTTTGGTTACTTGTAGTCTATGGTACGTGATATGTTTTGAAGGGTATAGACGTCAATAATGCTCCCACAATGCTCATAATAAAAAGTATATTTAATGATTCTAATCTCTTGTTAAAGCGGAAATATGGATGTGATATGATCTTGGAATCTACAGAATTTACTGAAAACACTTTGTTGAAGGTGTGTAAATAGCAAATATTTCTATTGTCTAGGACATCGCTGTGAGGCAGTAAGGGTGTACAAACGGTTATCTGACAACCAGAAAGCTGCAGTGTCTGACATCTGAAAAGTCAAGACCAGCCGAGGCCCACCCGCAAACCACTGTAACCACGGTTACAAAGACCGACCCACAGCCAGGATGTTCTGTTGGAGAGGCTTGTTCCACAACCCGAAATCCCATCTACTGACAGGCACAAAACTGTCCATGTTACTCTAAGCTTTAAGCAGTTAATCATTAAATAAAGGATTTCCTCTTTTGAATTTTGTTATTTTATCTTGTCACAGGTATTCCCACTTGTAACACCCGGTTAGGGGTCTTTGTTCAAAAAGTAACACCTCGTACCGGGTTTTACAACTGGTAAAATCTCCAACTGGAGGTTATTCCAAGGTTTTAAGTTAACTCTTCAATAAAATGGACAAAAATAGGGTTAGGTTTATAATGTCTGTAAAACACGACCCGGTGTTGGTATGCTTACAAGAAATTCAGATAATGTGTCAACATAACCAAAAGAGAACGTTGATGGATTAAAGTGGCAAAGAAATTAAATGTCCAGTAAAGCAACTTTCAGAAAATCTTTGAAACAACATAAACAATACTGGTTACAATTCTTTCCCTGTTCTACACCTACTCCCTGTGTTTCCCAACTAAGCGATTTAATCTTTTACACATACGTATACTGAGTTTGAACACGTATCTAAACAGTAAGTGACCGTTCACATGTATTCATGTTCATCTCTAAATCCTTCCAAGAACTGAAATGCATGTGCTGTGTAATTGTTACTTATAACTCCCATTGACTTCTCCCACCCGTGAAGGTCCGGGTTAGAATTGATCCTCAGTAGCCCATGCTTGTCGGCTTGTCGTAGGAGGCGACTAACGGGATCGGGTGGACAGGCTGGCTGACTTGGTTGACTCATGTCATAGTATCCCCATTGCAAAGATCGATGTTCATAATTCTGATCACTGGCTGGTCCAGGCTCGATTATTTACAGATAGCCGACATATAGCTGGAACGTAGCTGAGTGCGGCGTTAAACAACAAACCATAATCAGCCAACATTGACCTCTCTGAACACTAATTCAAATAGAAGAGAGACACAGACACATTGAGAAACATATGTTCATCAGGCCGAAGTCAGCTGTTGCTGGCGAGGTGCAGGCGGAGTAGCATTCGGCACGTACACTATGTATCAATGTCTCTCGCTCTCTCGGTTCATGATGTTGATCACTGGACTAACCGGTCCAGACTCGATTAGTTACAATATTCCGCCATATAACTGGAATATCGCCGAGTTGAGCGTTAAACAAGAAACAAACAAAAAGGACAGAAATAATTACATCCCCGTGATATTGTGACAATTAAGATCACCCGCATATCAGGCTAATAGATGAATGGTTTTCCCTGCCATTCCAAGATTCATGCAAAAGTGCAATATTTTTTATGTACAGTATGGGGATGATTTCTTTTATTAGCCTTTTCTTACAGGATGTTTCATGTTGATAATATGTGTTGTGTCCGACATAAATCAATCCACGATGAGCATACTCAGTGTCAAACATTACGTTTGTAAATTTCTCCAGTATGTTTTAGTTATACTGCTTTGCATTTGTTTTGGGAGAAGTTGATGAAATATTCCCCAACTTTAGTGAACAGTTTTTGATGATGCTAGCAAATGATTTGGTACTTCAAATAAAAGTTGAGTTCATGATATCACCTCCCGAGGTGTGCAATCTAAACTAGATGTTGCAGCTTTCCTGTTTGCAACTGTTATGTTCCTACACAATGTCAAGCATAAAGTTGAAATGCAACATGCACGATGAAGCTGAAACTCTTGCTACGTTTCACAGAAATCAGCATATAGTAATACCTTTTCCATATAAACATACCTTTTACACAGTTAAAGTTGTAATGCACGTGCATCACGTGTTTGAATAATGACAATTCAAGCAAATTCATCGCCCTATTTGGATCATGAAGGTAACCGTTTTGTCCGGCTCTACGTCAAGGGCCACATTGCTAATCAGGCTGAAATGCGACCTAACCTTAGTCAATAACTATCATGAAATACGAATAAATATCATGCACTACTTGAACTCAGCTTAGATTGTCAGCTTTAATATTGCTCTTGGTGCAGTTAAACAAAAAACACAAACACCTTCGTGTGAACAAGACCCTATAAGGCTATCATGGATATTTTCTCTCGTTTTTTCGCTCATATTTCAGAATTTTTACTAGACAGTTTATGTCATGCGCAAGAAACAAAATGCTTCTACAAAAGTTCGACGTATTGCCTTGATAAATCAGGTAATATATAGAGGGCACAGCCACATATCTGATATGATCCGGAAACTTGTTTGAATCAGCGAAGTGAAATTAACCAGAGACATGTGAATGAATATTGAGAAAGAAAGACAAGAAAATGTTGCCTCATTTTAACGCCGGGTCAAATGAACTGGCAAACACTCAAGTGTAATTTAAATAATTTTTCCGCGAATGTGGAAAGTGTTTTGTTTAAAATTTTCAGGAATGATCATTTTTGTGGTTGGTAGGGAATCTGGGTCCTTCCTATGTTTGTAATCACATATCTTATGAAAATGGAATTCCATGGGTCCTTACAAATATGCTTGACTATGTCCCATTTCACTAACACCGAAAGAAACATACTTTGAACAAACTGACACTTTATGTGATTTCAATTTAATTACCTACAACTTTTTTCACCACAAGTATCACCGTCAAAGAATAACTGTCGCAAGCTGAAATATACGTCCAATCTGGACTGACAGTATCTCAGACTGGTATCTCAGACTGGTATCCCAGATTTGCGATCTCGGCCCAGCAATTACATCTATAATTTCCTTGTCCTCCTCTCTAGTATAGTCTACTCACAGTGTTTTGTGTCTCTCGTCATCATGCCCATCTAACTGTAGCACTATAGTACAACTGTTCAAAGCGGCATTACACCACATTCCATTGACTTACAACTCGTTCATTCATCGTCATGCAGCTACAAAGAGAAACGACGCAAAACAGAAACAACAGCTGAAATATACATGTGCCAGATAATGGTCTGATGTATAGAAATGTGAAAATGGGTGCACAAAATAGAAACGTGACGTCAAGTATTTCAAATGTTACTAACTTGCTCATTCATCGCTACAAAGAGAAACGGAGCAAAAAAACCCACAAAAACCCGAAACAAAGAAACCCTAAAAAATACAGGTACAACAAAATTGTCTATTGTATAGGAAATTTGAAAATGGGTTAATAAAATAGAAACGTGACGTCATGTCATGCATTTCTACGAAAGAATATAATTTAATACCTGAAATCTCACTAAATTTCCGTGTCCAACCATATTATCACATGAAGTTCTCATCTTCAGAGTCATCTAACGGACAGAAATAAAAACTGCGCACATTCATTTTACTTCCTAACAAGCAATAAAACAATTTGGTTTGGGTTGACATTTCAACATAGTGTCTCCTGTGTAAAATATGTGAAAACAGGGATACAGTATACCCTTGACCTCAAGACTTCAATTTGTATACTTCCTTTCAAAAGTTTAGACTCACTTAAAACAGTCTAAACTTTTGATTGGAAGTATATTACACTAGTGAGTCTAAACTTTTGAAAGGAATTATATAATGTTTTAGGAAACATCGCTCAATACTAGAAATATCGTTTGGAATTTGTTTGGGACTATGCTTTGTTGACCGGATGATGAGATCATTCTAAATACACATACAGTGGTGTGGTCATATACACGGAAACATGTACACTTCCGAGTAACAAAAAACCTAACCAGCACTGGGTTCGTTATTCCTCAGTTCTATCCAACACAAAATGTTCTTCGTTTTTCAAAAAACAAATAATATACCCAGACTCTATCTTAGCTTTAGTCTATCATAGGGATAACGGAGAGGAATATTTCCTTTAGGCATTTCTTCAAACTTCAGCTGGTTCAGCACACTGTTGAGATCAAGTAGTCGTTGTGTAGCTCAGGTCATCCCAGGAATCTCCACAACAGCTGGTGATCTTTCACCTGGTGGACTATTTCACTTCATGCTGGAAACGACCTATTTGAATATTGCATGTCTGCAATTCACTGACAAAGCTATGCCCATACGTTTTGGTGAAGACACAAGCCATTCCAGACGAACACCATGCACAGAATGTCATAAACCACAGCTCTGCACTGACTTTCATTCTTTTGATTTTTATGTCAGACAAACACGTACTCTTTCACTTCCGTGTCTGTGCATAGAAATAAGAAACCGTATTTATCACAGAATATATCGCACATGCCTGTCTCACCGCCATCTTCTAACGTGAGCAGCTCCCTGACAAACTCTCCCGACTCTGTCAGCTGTATCACCTTGTCAGTGTCTCTGTCTACAAACAGGATGTCTCCTGTGCTGGTAGTTGTGATACCACAAGGGTAGACGAGTGCCTTGTCTCCGGTACGGTTGTATCTCCATAAAACATCCCCCCTCTGACGTCAGACATGTCACATACTTCTTCCCCCAGTCAGACACGAGTAGGTTGCCCTTGTTGGTGACGAAGATGTAGTCAGGGTAGGCAAATAGTAACGCTTTCTTTTCTGTAATGACAGACCTCAACACGTGTCCAGCCATGTCCAGGATATCCATGCGTTCCCAAGTACCTGCTGCTAGACAGGAAGGATTCAGAACAGCCAGACTGTAGTATTCGGCACGTGTTTTGGTGGTAGAGAGCAGCACCAGGTCAGGGGTCACTTCTACCGTTACAATCTGACGGGATAAAGGGACAGCAACCATCACCTGCTTCTCATTCAACTGTGTTATCCCGTTTGGAGAGTTATCCAGGGGAAGTTTACTATGGCATGAATGATTATTTCTTGTGAAGAAAGATTTCACACACTTGTTATTATAGTCCGTAACAACACATGTCTGTACACCATCTACAACCAGAACTGTCACGTCTTGTAGGTAAGGCTCCTCCTCATCACCCGACACCCTCCCATCTATCGTGTCAACCAGCACTGGAGATGGCTGACATGTCCCTGATCCCGGTATGTGACGTCAATCTTCCCCAACTGCAGGTTATCTAAGACCTTCAGGACGTTGTCAGTGTCTGGTGTAAAGATGATGTCATCTATTCTCCGGGTGTCTGCTGCCTCTGTATCCCTGACATCCTCCATCTCTACAGCTCCAAACTCCCAGACCTGATACGCGTCATACAGGTCCATCTCACAGTCCGACACCAAGGCCTGGTCAATGAACTCACAATGTTGTCTGTACATCTGCATCTCGATCTCTTCCAGATTCACATCAGCTCGGAGTTGGTCGGCGTATGTCTGTGATATGTTATTCAGTTCATCCAAGAGTTGTGTTTCTTTCTGTTTAATCTTGTTAATAGCTGTCTGGCAGATCAACCTAATATTTTGAACAGCTGACTCTGTGATTCTAGAATTACTTTGGAGCTTCTCGTTTCGTATGTCTACTTTCTTCGACCTCACTTTCAGTCTTTTCTCCATGCCAAGTCTCTTCTCCATCAGTGCTGCCTTCATCCCTGGCTTCATAGACCCAATGGTGACGACAGCCTTACAAGCTCTGTGGTAGATGATACAACATGTCTGACAGGCAGCCTTCCCACAGTCTTGACAGTGGAACTCAACACGGTTACTCTTGTGTTCCGTACACTTGATCCTCCGTTTGACATTTGACCTTGACGACAGGTCACACAGGTCATGGTTCAATGAATTGGGTGTCACCCGGTGTATCTTCACACATTTGTCACAGAGGACCACTTCACACTCAGGACACCACAAGGCTACTGGAGTTGTCTCCCCTAGTTGCTGACAGTCCGTGCAACAGGTGCTTGAGGTCTCTGTAAACACAAGTGCACATGTACCTATTTATATCGCAATTTGAAAAGGCTACGAAAGGAAGTAGGTTTTTCTTTCACACAACACAAATGTCAATGTTATATCTACGACTAGTTTTAAATACATACACACACACGGATATCATATTTTCACTTTACTACTCCTAGGCCAAATGTAGAGATAACATCATTATCAGGTAATATGATACACCAGGCCTTATCACCAATACTGCATATCCTGATCATGTTGAACACCACTGCTTGTCACCGTCCATTAAACCATGCGGTTAATACTCATGAAGTTGGTCTATGAACATGTGGACACTGTTTCAACAGCGGGGTAATCCTTGTTTGTTTTCAGCAACCTGATACATTCTGTGTCTAGTTCCACATTGACAAGATCTCTGGAGGGTGGGAGTTGTCATACCAAGTACTGGATAACGCTTTTACTGCTGCTGAGAGATCCTAAAAGATAGGGACTTTTCTAACATTTGGCCTAGGACTATTTACCTTGCACATCTTCCTCGGACCAATAGGAATCAATCAGCCCCTCTATAATGATGCCCACTCCTCCACCGGCCTGTTGGGGTGGGGAACCTTGGTATCTTGTCAACAGCAGGGACAGGGGATGGTCTTGGACTGTACAGCGTCAGGTCTGATTTGGATGTATGAGGTGATACATTTCCTGCAGAATGTGTGATCACACCTCAGTGTACATGGGTCTGTGTACATCTCCAAGCAGATTGAGCACGTCAGCCAATTATTCTTTACTTTGTTCTCTAGCCCGGCGGTCGCCATCTATAAAATTCACGAGTTCCTGTTCTAGTTCAAAAATTACATACGAGATGCATTATTTCCAAGCATTTCTACCACATACGCGTGCACGTGGGTCACAACCCCGATTCGCCCTCATTCGCCCTGAGCACGTCAGGAAATTATCTTTTGCTTTCTTCTCTAGCCCGGCGGTCGCCATCTGTAAGATACACATGCAGTTTGTGCCTTTTTAGTTTAATAGAAATTAATTAGATTCAGTACAAGCAGCAATGATAGATCTGAACATACGCGCAGATATTGCCAGCAGAATCGTTGTATGTCTGCCTCCTGAGCAATCATTCCAACCAAGTTTAAACTCAAGGTTGAATGTGTACTCCCATTTGCGTGCATGCATACATTGACACCTAAGCCACTTGGAGTGCATGGTGTCCAGGCCACTGTATCTGCACATATTTATAATGCGCGCACATCCACGCTCATAAGAATGTTCTTGGCGCTACATTAAAATACATACATCATTATATTCACCCAAGTGTCTACTGATATCACGAGTTGATAAAGTTACAAGTATCAGAGGCTTGCCGAGGATATTTTTAGTTTTATCAACGAGTGTTGATATATTTGATATCAGAAGACACGAGGGTGAGATTCTAATTATCATCCAAATCACTCTTCATTAGTTTTCAATAACAAATGAATATCTCTCAACGCTGTACTACCCTGAGACTTGCAGTGCAGCGATGTCATAGCATTGTGACGACATCAAGTTCGTGACATCATAGCATTGTCAGGGCATTTGTACAAAATCTACTGTCAAAACGATATCTCCAAAGTGGGGATGTGGGGTGACATTGTTTTCATTTTTTCTATGAGAAATATATGGCGTGTCGCCCAGTAGTGAAGGTCGCCATTGGTCGCCATTGTCGGTATCAGTGTCGAAGCGCGGCGCAGCAGACCTAGTGAACCAAGCTTTTTGTACCAAAGGTACCTCGTCAATTGCCTCTGTGTCTCCGACATGCCAGCAGAACACACACATGCACACATTATGCATGTGGTGTATAGAGAATACTACACGAGGTCTCATTAGACACGAATTATACGAAACGAGTGTCCTTCCTACGGTATCTGACCGAGCGAAAGCGAGGTCAGAAACCATAGGAAGGTCACGAGTTTCGTATAACTCGTATGTAATGAGACCGAGTGTGGTATTTTATTTATTACCCACGTCTTACATGCATTAAATTGACAAAATAGCGTATTTTTTTTATTCTTATGGTTTCAAACCGAAACCGTTTTCATAGAGAGGTTGCGGAAGAATTTTGTTCTGTAATCACTTTTGCATGACGTCACACTGTATTGACGTCGCTACGCCATTCTCGTCTGTCCCCTTGGTAACCGACGTCACGATACATGTCAGTTGTCATCCTCCTACAGCCTCCTACAGTAAACTACTCCGTAGCACCCCTTTGCAATTGCTTCACTCGGCTAACATAACTTGTGGAAACATTACGTTTATGTTTTTCGACGGATATAATGTCTCAGTTCGACTCACAATTAAACAGCAACACGGCAACGTTCGCAATGTTTAAATTCCCACAATGCATTTAAGTTGTAGAATGAATGAATTTACGTGTTTGTTATGAATGAACAAGTAGTTCCGTCACACTGTGACCTAACTGAGAGGTCATGGGCTATCCAATCAAATCGTTAGAATCTCAGGTCAAGTCGTTACGACACAGGTCAACGCGATATTGACCACGTGGGTAATAATTATTCATGTCTGGACCTGACATTCCAGTGATTGACATCATGAGCGTCGATCCACGTACACTTACACACGATGACACGCAGTAACCAAATCACAGAGACAGGCCGCGACCACCCAATCCACATAATCGTCTCTTGGGTTTACCAAGGGCCCAGATTCTTACCCGAAATCATTTATATCGTAATACTGATAGCGGGCGTAGTGTTGTGTTCAAACATTGATGGCTTATTATCAGGAGAGTTCGTTGTTGCAGGGAGACTATTTATCCCTGATTGTTGTGTCTGTTGTTTGAAAACAGACAACGTGTGGGAGAATATCGTGATCAAATCAAGACAAACACGACGCAACTTAGGGTATATACTAGCTGTCTGTTCTACGACACGTAACGCCAGCCCAGTGAACACAGGTAGTATACATTATCTGCTCGTTCCCTGGCAACAAGTTGTTAGGTACAGATTGACTCATCGTTAAAGAGGAACGGTTCAGTAGATATCTTTGCCGAAATTCAACATGGAACTGTCTGTTACTCATATTATTCAAATGTGTGAACCATTTCATCAATTTTCTGTTATTTTGTCTCTATTGAGTCTATGTCGGGGCTATGTGACATGACACCACCAGGAGAGAATAAAGTTATTGCTAAAGCTGGTGACGTCTCCATATAAGATTTGTCATTTTGATATCACGACGCTTGGATACTTCTAACATCACTATAATGTTTTACAAAGTTTCAGTTGACAGTATATACGTTTAAAGAACCATCAAATGGTATCTAAAAAAACTACCTTTCGGCAGGCGTGTCCTGGTGTGATTTGCAGCAATGGTTTGAGTCGCTTTCTTTGGTAACCGTTCACTCGGCTGCACTCGGCCTCACTCGCCCGTTCCCAAATCGTCGCCATTCGGCATGGTCCGTTAAAACATGGCCTAGCACTAACAGCTCACTGATTGCAGGGATACAAAGTAAAGTTGGGGACTATGTTCACAAAATAGGACCTTGACGTCAGGAATTTCAAAATAGGAAATAGTATGCTTAAATGTCACCAAATCGCTTTGTCCACTCAGAATATTTTGTCATTCGTCACCGATCGCCCCTTTCCGTAAGCCCCAAGAACAGTAATGTACCGGAATAACACGAGTTGGTCACGAATGATTATTTTGTGTTTTTCATCTTCGGGAAAGCCTAACTGCCACACTGTTACCAAACTGTAAACTTTCCACTGGGGTTTAAAGAGCTTTCTACTTAATAATATCAAACTCGTCCGCCAGTCTTCATGCTAGTGTCCGAGGGAGCGGTCGTTCTGAAGGAAACAATGAAAGCTCAAAATATAATACAACTCCAGGAAATTTATAAAAAAGATGGGTTCATAAACTGACTCGCTGAAGTCGGGAGTTTGAAGCATAGATATTTTTTTCAGGTGTTATGTGGTAGTGTTAGTGATTGTGATACAAGGTTCTAAGTACAATACATTACACAAGTGGATAGTCAGTGAGGGACAGTGGTGTGCTATATTTATACATGTACAAACATCTGGAAGCTACTCGACGGTACTACAATCCAAAGGTTATGATAACACAATGCCATTTAGGAAGTGGTCAAATGTAACATATGTTATACTTGGGATTACACTTTCTTAGTAAAGTACTGATTTTAGTACTTTTGTTGGGTTGAGTCCCATCCGGGATTCGAATGCTCACCTTCAGAGTCACTGTGGATGAGCGAGTTAGGCGGCTGACTTTGTGTGCTGGCGATTAGGTGCCTGACTCTGAGGGTGTGGGTTCGAATCCCGGATGGGAGTCAACATAAACAAAGTACTAGAAGATGTACTCTACTAAGAAAGTGTAATCCCAAATATAAAATATGTTAAGCCCCATAGGTTATTGGAGAATCCACTGGTGTCTTCGTCTTCGGTATATGAGGGGAGCTAACTCTTGCCTCTCGTCTCATATGACATTTCACAGCTGTACGAAGGCAAGCATTGTCTGTGATGATCATTGTACCCTGGAAACTCTGTATTTCTTGCAAGTAGGAATATTGTTGAACATAGATTCTATTATTACTGAGTTTGAATCTGTACTACTACTGCGCTACCCTTATAATGATTTGTGATCTTAGTTAATTTGAGAATAATTTCTTTGTGAACATTGCAGTTACTACATTCCTTATGGCTGAACTGGTCACGTGTTCTTCCATTAATTTCCCAATGAATGTGAACAAAGCAATGCCCACCAAAACGGACTACTTTTACTGCTACAGATTGTTAGAGAATCTCATCTACAATCGAGGCAAGTCCCATTTTGTTTGACCCGTGAAGATCCGGGTTAAAATTGATCTTTAGCTACTAATGCTTGTCGTAAGAGGCGGTTGAGTGGTCAGACTCGCTGACTTGGTTGACAAATGTCATTCTTATTGCGAAGATCGACGCTCATGCTGTTGATCACTGGATTGTCTGGTCCAGACTCGATTATTTACAGACCGCCACCATATAGCTGGAATATTGCTGAGTGCAGCTGTAAACAACCAACCAACCCTTTTTGTTTACCTGTGTCAATCGTGTACAGGACATTTAAGTGATGTTCATGTATATGCAGGATCACTCACCCATCTTTCGATACAGAAGCCTGAAAGGAATGCATTAACATTCCTGCAGGGACTGAAGGCTCGCTGTCTTGGTGTTTATTTTGAGTTACACAAAGGACATGTGTTAGGGTTCTATTCTCAAGTAGCATTTTTTAAAATGTGTCCGCTCGTTCTCAGGAAACCAAATGCTTGAATTTGGCAGTTCCTGACCATCTCATGTAAAATAGAAACCTTCTTCCTGACATGTTTGTTCGTTCGTTCCAGTCTGACGTTTGTAGTTCTGCTAGCCTCTTAATGTGATTGATGGGTCCTGTCGGCCTATGCTACTCTCCGCTGATTGGCTACTGACGTTATGTGCATAAATTAACAACAATAACCTTACACACGTTACGCCACAGTATGAATTCATTCACGTATTCTCTGTCAGCTTTTATATATAGGGCTTTTTTATGAAAGTGTTGTAGATATCTTTTTTGGAACAATTGAATCAGAAGGATAGACTGAGTACCTTTTTTCTCGGTTCACTGAGGTATGAATAAAAAACAATGTGCAAACTGTATGAATTCGCTGCTCTATACGGATGCATACATTCTGCACAATGGTTTTTCGATTCATACCTCAGTGATTTGAAAACATGGTCAACCCTTAACTGCAATAATTAATTAAAGCACATTTCTTTGGTTTATTTCGTCGGTTTCACATCTAATTCTTTATGGACTGTTTTTCGGTTGGATGAAAATATTTCAGCAAAGTATGAGCATGATTACTGTGATGTAATATTCAAAGAAACGTAAAGGTGTGATGCAACTGACTCTTTCTCTCTCTGCTTCACAGTACATTTCCTATATATAGTTGCAGGTCCAGTCATTCTTGATTGAATCAGAGAACTCACTTAAAATCTCCCCAGAGAACAAATAAACAGGATATCATACTGACGAAACGTCCATGCTCTGTATACAACAACTTACTCCCTTCTTACGTGCTGCTGGATCCAATGTCATATATATGTCCATGCTCTGTATACATAGAGAATACTAAACTCGGTCTCATTACATAGGAATTATACGAAACGAGTGTCCTTCCTATGGTATAGCGAAAGCGAGGTCAGATAACATAGGAAGGTCACGAGTTTCGTATAATTCGTATGTAATGAGACCGAGTGTGGTATTTTATTTATTACCCACGTCTTACATGCATTTAAATTGCCAAAATAGGGTATTTTTGTTAGGTTTTTGGTTTCAAACAGAAAACGTTTTCATAAAGAGGTTGCGGAAGAGTTTTGTACTGTAGTACAATATTTGCATGACGTCACACTAATAACGTCACTGCCATTGTAACCGACATCACGATGCATGTCAGTTGTCATCGCCTCGTACAGCCTCCTACAGTAAACTACTCCTTTGCACCTCGTTTCTTGGTTTCCAGTTGCTTCATTCGGCTAACATCACTGGTGGAAACATTGCGTTTATGTTTTTCGACAGATATAATGTCTCAGTTCGACTAACAATTAAAACAGCGACACGGCAACGTTCGCAATGTTTACATTCCCACAATGCATTAAGTTGTAGAATGAATGAATTTACGTGTTTGTTATGAATGGAAATAAGTTACGTCAGAATGTGACCTAATTGAGAGGTCATCAGTTATCCAATCAAATCGTTAGAATTTCAGGTCAAGTCGTTACGACACAGGTCAACGCGATACGACACTCGTGTGACGTACGAGATTAATATGCAACTACCCATACATTGACCACGTGGGTAATAAAACAACTTACTCCCCTCTTTCGTGCTGCTGGATCCAATGTCATACATATGTCCATGCTACCAGGGTTTCATGAGCAGAGATGTTAGAATGCTTACTGGGCTGGTTTACTACAGGTGGTATAAAATAAAGATCATTCTGTCATCATTTCGTCTATTTAATTGACATATAAGTATATAAAATACACATACACTGGTGTGGTCATATACACGGAAACATGTACACTTCCGAGTAACAAAAAACCTAACCAGCACCGGGTTCATTATTCCTCAATTCTATCCAACACAAAATGTTCTTCGTTTTTCGAAAACAAATAATATACCCAGACTCTATCTTAGCTTTAGTCTATCATAGGGATAAGGGAGAGGAATATTTCCTTTAGGCATTTCTTCATACTTCAGCTGTTTCAGCACACTGTTAAGATCAAGTAGTCGTTGTGTAGCTTAGGTCATCCCAGGAATCTCCTCAACAGCTGGTGATCTTTCACCTGGTGGACTATTTCACTTCATGCTGGAAACGACCTATTTGAATATTGCATGTCTGCAATTCACTGACAAAGCTATGCCCATACGTTTTGGTGAAGACACAAGCCATTCCAGACGAACACCATGCACAGAATGTCATAAACCACAGCTCTGCACTGACTTTCATTCTTTTGATTTTTATGTCAGACAAACACGTACTCTTTCACTTCCGTGTCTGTGCATAGAAATAAGAAACCGTATTTATCACAAAATATATCGCGCATGCCTGTCCGATCGCCATCTTCTAACGTGAGCAGTTCCCTGACAAACTCTCCCGACTCTGTCATCTGTATCACCTTGCCTGTGATCATATCTACAAACAGGATGTCTCCTGTGCTGGTAGTTGTGATACCACGAGGGTAACTGAGTGTCTTGTCTCCGGTACGGTTGTATCTCCATAAAACATCCCCCCTCTGACGTCAGACATGTCACAGACTTGTTACCACAGTCAGACACGAGTAGATTGCCCTTGTTGTTGACACACATGTACCAGGGGCGGGCAAACAGTGAGTCTTCATTGTATGTAGTGATTGACCTCAACACGTGTCCAGCCATATCCGGGATATCAACACAGTTCAAAGCACCTGCTGCTAGAGATGAAGGATTCAGAACAGCCAGACTGTAGTATTTGGTACGTGTTGTGATGGTTGAGAGCAGCACCAGGTCAGGGGTCACTTCTACCGTTACAATCTGACGGGATAAAGGGACAGCAACCATCACCTGCTTCTCATTCAACAGTGTTATCCCACGTAGAGAGTTATCCAGGGGAAGTTTACTATGGCATGAAAGATTATTTCTTGTGAAGAAAGATGTCACACACATGTTATCACAGTCCGTAACAACACATGTCTGTATACCATCTACAACCAGGACTGTCATATAAAATAGATTAGGCTCCTCTTCATCACTCGCCACATTCGAATCTATCGTGTCAACCAGAACAGGAGATGGCTGACATGTAACCTGATCCCGGTATGTGACGTCAATCTCTCCCAACTGCAGGTTATCTAGGACCTTCAGGACGTTGTCAGTGTCAGGTGTAAACCCGATGTGATCTATTCTCCGAGTGGCTGCTGCCTCTGTACCTCTGACAGCCTCAATCTCTACAGCTCCAGACTCCCAGACCTGATACGCGTCATACAGATGACGTCAGGGGTGCCTTCTACCGTTACAATCTGACGGGATAAAAGGACAGCAACTATCACCTGCCTCTCATTTAACTGTGTTATCCCGTTTGGAGAGTTATCCAGGGGAAGCTTACTATGGCATAAAAGATTATTTCTTGTGAAGAACGATTTCACACAGATGTTATTATAGTCCGTAACAACACATGTTTGTACACCATCTACAACCAGGACTTTTTATCATATCATATAGATCAGGCTTCTCATCATCCGCCACCCTCCCGTCTCTCGTGGCAACCAGCACAGGAGTTGACAGACATCTGTTCTGGTATGTGACGTCGATGTCCCCAAACTGCAGACTATCTAGGACCTTCAGGACTTTTACAGTGTCAGGTGTAAACCGGATGTGATCTATGCTCCGGGTGGCTGCTGCCTCTGTATCCCTGACATCCTCCATCTCTACAGCTCCAGACTCCAAGGCCTGATACGCGTCATACAGGTCCATCTCACAGTCCGATACCAAGGCCTGGTCAATAAACTCACAATGTTGTCTGTACATCTGCATCTCGATCTCTTCCAGCTTCACATCAGCACGGGGTTGGTCGGCGTATGTCTGTGATATGTTATTCAGTTCTTCCAAGAGATGTGTTTCTTTCTGTTTAATCTTGTAAATGGCTGACTGGCAGATCAACCTTATAATTTGAACAGCTGACTCTGTGATTCTAGAATTACTTTGGAGCTTCTCGTTGCTTATGTCTACTTTCTTCGACCTCACTTTCACTCTCTTCTCCATGCCAAGTCTCTTCTCCATCAGTGCTGCCTTCATCCCTGGCTTCATAGACCCAATGGTGACGACAGTTTTACAAGCTCTGTGGTAGATGATACAACATGTCTGACAGGCAGCCTTCCCACAGTCTTGACAGTGGAATTCAACACGGTTACTCTTGTGTTCCGTACACTTAATCCTCCGTTTGACCTTTGACCTAGACGACAGGTCACACAGGTCATGGTTCAATTAATTGGGTGTCACTCGGTGTATCTTCACACATTTGTCACAGAGGGCCACTTCACACTCAGGACACCACAAGACCCCTGGAGTTGTTTCCCCTAGTTGCTGACAGATCGTAGAACAGGTGCTCGAGGTCTCTGTAAACACAAGTACAAACATACTTATGTTCATCACACACAGATGTCAATGTTATATCTACCACTAGTTTTAAATACATACACTCACGCATATCATATTTTCACTCTACCTTGCACATCTTCCTCGGACCTATAGGTGTCAATCAGCCCCTGTATCACAATGCTGGCTTTGATCTGCCCCGCCCACTCCTCCACCGGCCTGCTGGGGTGGGGAACCTTGGTGTCTTGTCGACAGCAGGGACAGGGAATGGTCTTGGACTGTACAGCATCTGGTCTGGTTTGGATGTATGAAGTGGCACATTTCCTGCAGAATGTGTGATCACAGCTCAATGTACACGGGTCTGTGTACATCTCCAAGCAGATGGAGCATGTCAGGAAATTATCCTTTACTTTCCTCTCTAGGCCGGCGGTTGCCATCTGTAAGATACACATGCAGTTTGTGCCTGTTTAGTTTAATACAAATAGACTACGCTTTACTCACTACAGATTCCATAAGCAGCAATGGAAGATCTGAACATACACGCAGGAAGATCTGAACATACACGCATCTGCATGTGAAGCTGTATACTAACACACTCACACACAGAGACACACTTTAAATATAAACAGATGTCTATCTACCTGTCTATCTTTCTATCTAACTGTATATATATTTATATATATATATATATATATATATATATATATATATAGTGTGTGTGTGTGAGAGAGAGAGAGAGAGAGAGAGAGAGAGAGAGAGAGAGAGAGAGAGAGAGAGAGAGACTTGGATCATGTACATATATTTAATCTAATCGCTCACCGTTAACCTCAACCCTACTCAAAGGCAAACACTGACACTACACATGGTCGACACGCCCCCTAGCAACCAGATGTAAGGCATCGCAGAAAACACAGTAGGGGCAACGATTGAATGGACACCCTCACCGAAATTATACCTGAATACCGACTATTACACAAACCAATGAACAGGTCAATGTCACTCGATTTACGTCATCATAGTTACCATATTATTGACCATGCATGTACTTAATAATCTTGGGAGCATATTCGTGCCAATGGTCGATCTCAGCCGATTGTCATCCAGGATAATGTTACTGCTATACAGTATCGGGACCAGGTGAACAGGGACTCTCGACCCAAACCTACGTTCCTGCCAGATACATGCACTACAGGCGTGGAGAACACAACCGACATACCTGCACCGCCACGACTATACATGGTATCTATTCACTCAACTTTAACCTCAAACACTGACAATGCACCCCGTCAGTGACAGTATATACCTTGATGGCAGTATAGTACTAAGACCCCGTCAGTGACAGTATATACCTTGATGGCAGTTTTTAGCGTTACAAGCCCCTGCGAAGTAGACAACTTACCCTCACAATTATCACTGATTTCAAGACGTACTGACACTCGTACATTTATATCAGAAAAATCACAATAAATGGTATCAGTTGTCAGTTTAACAATATCTACTTTGCAGAAAATCACAAGCAACGACTACCTTTCCGGTGGCTGTGTGTTCGTGTGGTTTGTCGCATTCGGTTGAACTCGCCCTTTTCCGTAAGTGTTCTCTCGGCTGGGCGCGTATTGCCCTTTGTTGACGTGAAGGACGTTTCTGTGTATATGACACACATAAAGGGCTTTAGCCCGACAAACAGGTAAGAGTCTATGTCGGCCTTTTCGCTGATTTGTGGGTCCATTATTGTAAATCTTTGGTTACTTGTAGTCTATGGTACGTGATATGTTTTAAAGGGTATATACGTCAATAATGCTCCCAAAAGGCTTATAATAAAAAGTATATTTAATGATTCTAAACTCTTGTTAAAACGGAAATATGGATGTGATATGATCTTGGAATCTACAGAATTTACTGAAAACACTTTGTTGAAGGTGTGTAAATAGCAAATATTTCTATTGTCTAGGACATCGCAGTGAGGCAGTAAGGGTGTACAAACGGTTATCTGACGACCAGAAAGCTGCAGTGTCCAACTACCTGAAAAGTCAAGACCAGCCGAGGCCCACCCGCAAACCACCGTAACCATGGTTACAAAGACCGACCCACAGCCAGAATGTGCTGTTGGAAAGGCTCGTTCACAACACGAAATCCTATCTACTGACTGGCACAAAACTTTCCATGGCACTCTAAGCTTTAAGCAGTTAATAATTAAACAAACAATTTTATCTTTTGAATTTTGTTATTTTATCTTGTCACAGGTATTACAACTTGTAAAACCCGGTTAGGGGTCTTTATTCTTTTAAGCTACCTCTTCAATAAAATGGACAAAAATAGGGTTAGGTTTATAATGTCTGTAAAACACGACCCGGTGTTGGTATGCTTACAAGAAATTCAGATAATGTGTCAACATAACCAAAAGAGAACGTTGATGCATTAAAGTGGCAAAAAACTAAATGTCCCATAAAGCAACTTTTAGAAAATCTTTGAAACAACATAAACAATACTGGTTACAATTCTTTCCCTGTCCTACACCTACTCCCTGTGTTTCCCAACTAAGCGGTTTAATCTTTTACACATACGTATACTGAGTTTGAACACGTATCTAAACAGTAAGTGACCGTTCACATGTATTCATGTTCATCCAACTTCTAAATGCCTTCCAAGAACTGAAATGCATGTGTTGTGTAATTGTTACTTATAACTCCGATTGACTTCTCCCACCCGTGAAGGTCCGGGTTAGAATTGATCCTCAGTAGCCCATGCTTGTCGGCTTGTAGGAGGCGACTAACGGGATCGGTTGGACAGGCTGGCTGACTTGGTTGACTCATGTCATAGTATCCCCATTGCAAAGATCGATGTTCATAATGCTGATCACTGTCTGGTCCAGGCTCGATTATTTACAGATAGCCGCCATATTGCTGGAACGTAGCTGAGTGCGGCGTTAAACAAACCATAATCAGCCAACATTGACCTCTCTGAACACTAACTCAAATAGAAGAGAAAAAACACCTTTTTTATTCAAATTCTAATTTTAAAAATTACAGTGACAAAAATAGGTATTCAAGATGTTATACTGACACAGACACATTGAGAAACATATGTTTATCAGGCCGAGGTCAGGTGTTGCTGGCGAGGTGCAGGCGGAGCAGCATTCGGCACATACACGATGTATCAATGTCTCTCGCTCTCGCGGTTCATGATGTTGATCACTGCACTAACCGGTCCAGACTCGATTAGTTACAATATTCCGCCATATAGCTGGAATATCGCTGAGTTGAGCGTTAAACAAGAAACAAACAAACAGGACAGAAATAATTACATCCCCGTGACATTGTGACAATTAAGATCACCCGCATATCAGGCTAATAGATGAATGGTTTTCCCTGCCATTCCAAGATTCATGCAAAAGTGCAATATTTTCTATGTACAGTATGGGGATGATTTCTTTTATTAGCCTTTTCTTACAGGATGTTTCATGTTGATAATATGTGTTGTGTCCGACATAAATCAATCCACGATGAGCATACTCAGTGTCAAACATTACGTTTGTAAATTTCTCCAGTATGTTTTAGTTATACTGCTTTGCATTTGTTTTGGGAGAAGTTGATGAAATATTCCCCAACTTTAGTGAACAGTTTTTGATGATGCTAGCAAATGATTTGGTACTTCAAATAAAAGTTGAGTTCATGATATCACCTCCCGAGGTGTGCAATCTAAACTAGATGTTGCAGCTTTCCTGTTTGCAACTGTTATGTTCCTACACAATGTCAAGCATAAAGTTGAAATGCAACATGCACGATGAAGCTGAAACTCTTGCTACGTTTCACAGAAATCAGCATATAGTAATACCTTTTCCATATAAACATACCTTTTACACAGTTAAAGTTGTAATGCACGTGCATCACGTGTTTGAATAATGACAATTCAAGCAAATTCATCGCCCTATTTGGATCATGAAGGTAACCGTTTTGTCCGGCTCTACGTCAAGGGCCACATTGCTAATCAGGCTGAAATGCGACCTAACCTTAGTCAATAACTATCATGAAATACGAATAAATATCATGCACTACTTGAACTCAGCTTAGATTGTCAGCTTTAATATTGCTTTTGGTGCAGTTAAACAAAAAACACAAACACCTTCGTGTGAACAAGACCCTATTAGGCTATCATGGATATTTTCTCTCGTTTTTTCGCTCATATATCAGAATTTTTACTAGACAGTTTATGTCATGCGCAAGAAACAAAATGCTTCTACAAAAGTTCGACGTATTGCCTTGATAAATCAGGTAATATATAGAGGGCACAGCCACTTATCTGATATGATCCGGAAACTTGTTTGAATCAGCGAAGTGAAATTAACCAGAGACATGTGAATGAATATTGAGAAAGAAAGACAAGAAAATGTTGCCTCATTTTAACGCCGGGTCAAATGAACTGGCAAACACTCAAGTGTAATTTAAATAATTTTTCCGCGAATGTGGAAAGTGTTTTGTTTAAAATTTTCAGGAATGATCATTTTTGTGGTTGGTAGGGAATCTGGGTCCTTCCTATGTTTGTAATCACATATCTTATGAAAATGGAATTCCATGGGTCCTTACAAATATGCTTGACTATGTCCCATTTCACTAACACCGAAAGAAACATACTTTGAACAAACTGACACTTTATGTGATTTCAATTTAATTACCTACAACTTTTTTCACCACAAGTATCACCGTCAAAGAATAACTGTCGCAAGCTGAAATATATGTACGTCCAATCTGGACTGACAGTATCTCAGACTGGTATCTCAGACTGGTATCCCAGATTTGCGATCTCGGCCCAGCAATTACATCTATAATTTCCTTGTCCTCCTCTCTAGTATAGTCTACTCACAGTGTTTTGTGTCTCTCGTCATCATGCCCATCTAACTGTATCACTATAGTACAACTGTTCAAAGCGGCATTACACCACATTCCATTGACTTACAACTCGTTCATTCATCGTCATGCAGCTACAAAGAGAAACGAAGCAAAACAGAAACAAAAGCTGAAATATACATGTGTCAGATAATGGTCTGATGTATAGTAATGTGAAAATGGGTGCACAAAATAGAAACGTGACGTCAAGTATTTCAAATGTTAGCATTGCTCTACGAAAGAATATAATTTAATACTAGAAATCTCACTAAATTTCCTTGTCCAACCATATTATCACATGAATTTCTCATCTTCAGAGTCATCTACCGGACAGAAATAAAAACTGCGCACATTCATTTTACTTCCTAACAAGCAATAAAACAATTTGGTTTGGGTTGACATTTCAACATAGTGTCTCCTGTGTATAATATGTGAAAACAGAGATACAGTATACCCTTGACCTCAAGACTTCAATTTGTATACTTCCTTTTAAAAGTTTAGACTCACTTAAAACAGTCTAAACTTTTGATGGGAAGTATATTACACTAGTGAGTCTAAACTTTTTGAAAGGAATTATATATGGTTTTAGGAAAAATCGCTCTATACTAGAAATATCGTTTGGAATTTGTTTGGGCCCATGCTTTGTTGACCGGATGATGAGATCATTCTAAATACACATACACTGGTGTGGTCATATACACGGAAACATGTACACTTCCGAGTAACAAAAAACCTAACCAGCACCGGGTTCGTTATTCCTCAGTTCTATCCAACACAAAATGTTCTTCGTGTTTCAAAAAACAAATAATATATCCAGACTCTATCTTAGCTTTAGTCTATCATAGGGATAACGGAGAGGAATATTTCCTTTAGGCATTTCTTCAAACTTCAGCTGGTTCAGCACACTGTTAAGATCAAGTAGTCGTTGTGTAGCTCAGGTCATCCCAGGAATCTCCACAACAGCGGGTGATCTTTCACCTGGTGGAATTTTTAACTTCATGCTGGAAACGACCTATTTGAATATTGCACGTCTGCAATTCACTGACAAAGCGATGCCCATACGTTTTGGTGAAGACACGAGCCATTCCAGACTAGCACCATGCACAGAATGTCATAAACCACAGTTCTGCACTGACTTTCATTCTTTTGATTTTTATGTCAGACAAACACGTACTCTTTCACTTCCGTGTCTGTGCATAGAAATAAGAAACCGTATTTATCACAGAATATATCGCACATGCCTGTCTCACCGCCATCTTCTAACGTGAGCAGCTCCCTGACAAACTCTCCCGACTCTGTCATCTGTATCACCTTGTCAGTGTCTCTGTCTACAAACAGGATGTCTCCTGTGCTGGTAGCTGTGATACCACAAGGGTAGACGAGTGCCTTGTCTCCGGTACGGTTGTATCTCCATAAAACATCCCCCTCCTCTGACGTCAGACATGTCACATACTTCTTCCCCCAGTCAGACACGAGTAGGTTGCCCTTGTTGGTGACGAAGATGTAGTCAGGGTAGGCAAATAGTAACGCTTTCTTTTCTGTAATGACAGACCTCAACACGTGTCCAGCCATGTCAAGGATATCCATGCGTTCCCAAGTACCTGCTGCTAGACAGGAAGGATTCAGAACAGCCAGACTGTAATATTCGGCACGTGTTTTGGTGGTAGAGAGCAGCACCAGGTCAGGGGGCCACTTCTACCTTTACAATCTGACGGGATAAAGGGACAGCAACCATCACCTGCTTCTCATTCAACTGTGTTATCCCGTCTGGAGAGTTATCCAGGGGAAGTTTACTATGGCATGAATGATTATTTCTTGTGAAGAAAGATTTCACACACTTGTTATTATAGTCCGTAACAACACATGTCTGTACACCATCTACAACCAGAACTGTCACGTCTTGTAGGTAAGGCTCCTCCTCATCACCCGACACCCTCCCATCTATCGTGTCAACCAGCACTGGAGATGGCTGACATGTACCCTGATCCCGGTATGTGACGTCAATCTCTCCCAACTGCAGGTTATCTAGGACCTTCAGGACGTTGTCAGTGTCTGGTGTAAAGATGATGTCATCTATTCTCCGGGTGGCTGCTGCCTCTGTATCCCTGACATCCTCAATCTCTACAGCTCCAGACTCCCAGGCCTGATACGCGTCATACAGGTCCATCTCAGAGTCCGATACCAAGGCCTGGTCAATGAACTCACAATGTTGTCTGTACATCTGCATCTCGATCTCTTCCAGATTCACATCAGCTCGGTCGGCGTATGTCTGTGATATGTTATTCAGTTCATCCAAGAGTTGTGTTTCTTTCTGTTTAATCTTGTTAATAGCTGTCTGGCAGATCAACCTAATATTTTGAACAGCTGACTCTGTGATTCTAGAATTACTTTGGAGTTTCTCGTTTCGTATGTCTACTTTCTTCGACCTCACTTTCAGTATCTTCTCCATGCCAAGTCTCTTCTCCATCAGTGCTGCCTTCATCCCTGGCTTCATAGACTCAATGGTGACGACAGTTTTACAAGCTCTGTGGTAGATGATACAACATGTCTGACAGGCAGCCTTCCCACAGTCTTGACAGTGGAACTCAACACGGTTACTCTTGTGTTCCGTACACTTGATCCTCCGTTTGACCTTTGACCTAGACGACAGGTCACATAGGTCATGGTTCAATAGAGTAGGGGTCACCCGGTGTATCTTCACACATTTGTCGCAGAGGACCACTTCACACTCAGGACACAACAAGACCCCTGGAGTTGTTTCCCCTAGTTGCTGACAGATCGTACAACAGGTGCTTGAGGTCCCTGTAAACACAAGTACATATGTACTTATTTTCATTGCAATTTAAAAATGCTAATAAAGGAAGCAGGGTATTTTTTTACACACACATATGTCAATGTTAAGTCTACCACTGGTTTTAAATACACACACACGCAGGCACACGCACACGCACACGCACACGTACACACGCATATGATATTTTCACTTTACCTGGCACAGCCACCTCGGATCTATAGGTGTCAATCAGCCCCTGTATAATGATGCTGGGTTTGATCTGCCCAGCCCACTCCTTCACCGGCCTCCTGGGGTGGGGAACCTTGGTGCCTTGTCGACAGCAGGGACAGGGGATGGTCTTGGACTGTACAGCATCTGGTCTGGTTTGGATGTATGAGGTGACACATTTCTTGCAGAATGTGTGATCACACTTCAGTGTACATGGGTCTGTGTACATCTCCAAGCAGATGGAGCACGTCAGGAAATTATCCTTTACTTTCTTCTCTGGCCCGGCGGTTGCCATCTGTAAGATACACATGCAGTTTGTGCCTTCTTAGTTTAATAGAAATTAATTAGATTCAGTACAAGCAGCAATGAAAGATCTGAACATACGCGCATCTGTATGTGAAGCTGTACACGAACACGCGCACACACACACAGACACATAGTAAATATAAACGGATATCTATCTACATGTCTATCATCTATCTATCTATCTGTCTGTATCTGAGCAGTCAGACTGGGAACACTGACATCTTATTGACCTTATTATTTACCATACAAGTTCATAATACTTCTGGGAGCATATTCGTGCCAGTGGTGCCAGTCTCAGCTGATTGTCGTCCAGGAATATGTTACTAAATACAGTATCGGAGCCAGGTTTTCACCCGCGAACTTCTGCCATATATGCAGCTACATGATCCTGGACTGACATGTTACTATGACAACGTCGAGCCCCACCCTGTTATTACTAACGCTGCTGTTGATGTCATGGACTGGCCTCCACGTTCCCCATTAAGGTATGCACAGTGTTTTCTCTGTCTATACTGAACAGTATATTAACAGGGTAGTTCGGCCCAAACCTATATTCCTGCCACATATATGCACTTCAGGTGTGGATAACACAACCCACATATCTGCGCCGCCACGATTCTGAGCATGTATATGTTATCTATTCACTCACCGTTAACCTCGACCCTTTCAAAGTTAAACAAACACTGACAACGCACATGACCAACACGTCCCCGAGCCGCCAGTATTAAGGTATCGCACAAAACACGGTAGGAGGAACCATTGAATGGATAGCTTCACCGGAATTACATCAGAACAATGATTATTATTCAACCCAATGAACCAGTCAATGTCAATACCTTTGTATAATTGGATTTACCCACTTAGCTCAAATGCTACCATGGTTAAAACTGATGACGAAAGTAGACAACCTACCCTCACAATTATCACTGATTTCAAGACGTACTGACACTCGTATATTTCTATCAGATAATGACTGACTGAGTTTGGTTTTACGCCGCTGTTAGCAATATTCCAGCAACATCACGGCGGGGGACACCAGAAATGGGCTTTTCCATTGTGCCCATGTGGAGATTCGAACCCGGGTCTTCGGCGTGACGAGCCAACGCTTTCACCATTAGGCTACCCCACCGCCCCCTATCAGATAATGAATAACATTTGACAAAACACAATAAATGGTAACAGTTATCAGTTCAACAATATGTACGTTACAGAAAATCACAAGCAATGACTTAAGCCTACCTTTCCGGTGTGGTTTTGGGTGTGGTTTGCTGCAATCGGTTGTACTCGACCTTTTCCGTAAATGTTCAACTCGGCTGGGCGCTTATCAGCCGTTGTTGACTGAGCATAAAAAAGCCCCCAGTGTTGGTATGTTTACATTCAACATAGCCAAAAGGAAACGTCTTTTCAGGACATGCACATTGCAGCAGCACAATATCATATTTTTTCATTAAAATGGCAAACAAACTTAATGTCCCATAAAGCAACTTTCAGAAAATCTTTGAAACAACATAAACAATACTGGTTACAATTCTTTCCCTGTTCTACACCTACTCCCTGTGTTTCCCAACTAAGCGATTTAATCTTTTACACATACGTATACTGAGTTTGAACACGTATCTAAACAATAAGTGAGCCATGTTATGTATTCATGTTCATCCGACTTTTAAATGCCGTTCAAGAACTGAATGCCTGTGTTGTGTAGTGGTTACTTATAACTCTTGGTCTTCAGTAACCCATGCTTGTCTACCAGAAGATCCGGGTTAGAATTGGTCTGAGTGCGTCGTTAACCAACCAACCAACATTAACTTCTATGAACATTAATTCAAATAGATGAGAAAATACCGTGTTTATTCAAATTCTAATTCTAAAACTTACAGTCACAAAAGGAGTTATTCAAAATGTTATACTGACACAGACACATTGAAAAACATATGTTTATCAGGCCGAGGTCAGCTGGTGCTGGCGAGGTGCAGGCGGAGCAACACTCCGCACGTACACGGAGTATCAGTGTCTGTCTCTTGCATTCTCAGTTCACTTGTTCCATATGTTTAACTGTTGTTTGGCCTCTTTTATGCCTTATTGTCTTAGTGGTGTTGTTTAGCCATTCCCATAGTTACATAGATGCAAACATATAATTGTAATAGAAGTGAGTGAGAGATTATGTTTTAACGCCGCTTTCAGGATATCTTGGTAGTGTTGCCCCCCTTTCATTATTGCAAAACACTTTCCACACTGTTGGGGCGGTGGGGTAGTCTAGTGGTTAAAGCGTTGGCTCGTCACGCCGAAGACTCGGGTTCGAATCCCCACATGGGTACAATGAGTGAAGCCCATTTCTGGTGTCCCCCGCCGTGATATTGCTGGAATATTGCTAAAAGCGGCGTAAAACCAAACTCAGTCATTCAGTCAGTTCCAAACTGTTAATCAATTTAAGGCTCCGTTGAAAATAAAGCTGAAACATTTTACAACTTAGTCGTGATGTGTAAAACACATACACCAAAACAGTATTGTCACAGACCAAATGTGAAATGCATGCATTTCCAGTACAGTTACGAATATAACTTTAGTTTCGAAGATCTTTTATGTTCAATGGCTATCAAATAGCTAGTTCCCTTCCATTTGTTTGCCGGTGGGGTAGCCTAGTCGGGGACGCCGATGAGATACAGGAGGCCGGTGAGACGTGTCATCTATTTATATTTATCTCCAAAGATTTAGAGTGACACTGACCACAATATTTATCTCCAGATTTAGAGTGAATATGACAAAATGGTTTCTACTTTGTTTAAAGACATCGACCAAAGACAAGTGAATGAATATTGACAAAGAAATACAAGAAAATGCTGCATTGGTTTAACGCCGGGTCAAATGAACTAGCAAACACTCAAGTGTAATTTTAATAATTTTCCCCGACAAAACCCCCTGCTGGATTGTTATTATCGGACTGTGGATTGCTACTATAGGACTGTTCCATGTGTGTTTTCAAAAGAAAATATTAGCCTACATGTCATGAATCCTCGAACCGTGCTCCGTTCATCCACATAAAACATGCTTTTGTTTAAGTGGTAATATAGTTACTGTACTAAAAGCAGCTGTTCAACCAGAACGTTACCCAAGATAGTCAATTAAGCGTATGTATCCTTCCTATTATTGTAATCATCTTATGAAAATCGAATTACATGCGTTTTCAAAAATATACATGCCAGCGTATACACATTTTCACTAACACCGACAGAAAAACATACTTTGAACAAATGGCACTTTATGTGTTTCCAGTTTAATTACCCACAAGTTCTATTTTCCAAAGTATCACCGTCAAAGAATACCTGTCACCAGCTGAAATATACTTCCAATCTGGACTGACAGTATCTCAGACTGATGTCACAAGACTTGTCATCTCGTCCCAGCAATTACATTTGGAAGATACATCTATACAAGTAAGGGCCAAATGGCACCAAATCCCCTTGTCCACACTAGTATAGTCTACTCACAGTATTTTGTGTGGCTCTCGTCTTCATGCTCATCTGGGGCGGTAGGGTAGCCTAGTGGTTAAAGCGTTGGTTCGTCACGCCGAAGACACGGGTTCGAATCCCCACATGGGTACAATGTCGGAAGCCCATTTCTGGTGTCCCCCGACGTGATGTTGCTGGAATATTGCTAAAAGCGGCGTAAAACCAAACTCACTCAGTCAGTCATGCTCATCTAACTGAATCACTATAGTACAACTGTTCACAGCTACATGTTCGTGTTCAGCTACAAAACAAAACAGAAAACAGAAACCAAAACTGAAATATACGGGAAAGATCTCTGGTTGATGCCACAACATAATTGTCTACTGTGCAAGAATGTGAATATAGGGTCACAAAATATAAACGTGACGTCAAGTATTTCAAACGTCAGCATTGTTCTACGAAATAATGTAGCTTAATACTTGAAATCTCACCAAATTCCCTTGTTCAGCCATATTATCACATTCTCATCTTCGGGTTCATCAAACGGACACAACTAAAACCTGTGTACATCCATTTAATCATACACTCTCAACAAGCAGTAAAATCGGAAAAAAAGAACAATCAGTCTTGGATTGACACTACAACATTGTTGTCTGTGAAAACAGGCACACAAGGTGTACCCTTGACCTCAAGATTTAATTATAAATATGGTTCTTGGACACAAAGATCAATACTAAAAAATATCTTTTGGTGTATTTTTGGACCCAGGCTTTGTTAAAAGGGTGCTAAGATCATTCTAAATACGCATACAGAAAAAAAGATAAAGCACTTGATGCTCAGTGCTTACCAAAGTATTCTAGATGAGGACATGTTTGCTCAAGGTAAAACAACACTGAGCAGGAAAACAATACTGTAATAATGAAACAAATAGAAAGGCATGTTCTACATAATTATACAAGAAGTCAGGATAAAGGCGTCGTACATTAGGTACCTGGGTGTGTGGTAACACTTGAAGTGATTTAAGACACCTTTCCAGACTGTTTTGTTTCGGGATGTGTGATCTAAAGAAGACTATGGACACGGGTGGGTGGGTGGACAACCTGTCTCCCTGCCAGGTGTGAACCTGAAATACCCCATGCCACGTGCACGTGTCTTATGTAGCCTTGCATAACTCCAGCACAAAACGCACATTTACCTTCACGGTTTGTACACAAACCGTATTTACACTAATATAAATGATTGTAATGCAAGAAACTAGTTCTGTTTCTCGGTAAATTTCGTTCACAAATATAAGGTCTGGTCATTCTTGATCCTCGTGTCAGAAGACTCACTTAGATTCTCTCCATAAAACAAAAATAAACCAGATATCATCTTGATATGTAATTAGGTTTCCTTCCGACCAATCCATTTTTGCAATGTAGATGCTCTAGATCAAGTCTCTTTAAATCTTTGAGTTCACTGGTGTTCCTTTTTAATTTAATTGGACTTATATGTATCTTATAAATCCAGACACTAAGCTTTAGTCTACCATACCTACATCTGGATCCTTTTACTAACG